AGTCAAAACTAGTTTTGATTTTTGACTATTGACTTTTGATTTAGTTTTGACATATAACTTTTAATTTTAGTTTTGACGACCACCAACCCTGGAATTCTGTTGCATTATTGTATCATCAGATGAAGCTGGTCAGATTAGCCTTATGTACACATGAGGAACATGTGAGAATGACTGTAAAGTGTTCAAGCTAGCATGCGTGCCTTCAACATCTGTAAATTTCAGATAATCAAACATTCAGTATTGAAATGTTTCATATTTGAAATGTTTATTTTTCAACAGTGTGCTGCCTTGACATCTTGTGATTATATATTATAATATTAATATTAATATTGATTATGACCAAGCTAAATACTAAACATTTGTTTACCATCTTGATGAGAATCTTATAATTACCCAGCAAGATCTGCTCTGCACTTTGATTCATTTATATAAAATAAAATACATATAAAAAAAAGTTACCTCTGGTTAGTTATTAACACATTTCTTTTTAGAGCCCAATCATGCCAAATAACATCACTTGCATTTTGTCATCTGAAACATAAATTTTTTTCCAAAAAATAAAAAAAAAATAGGGTTCCCTATAGTCAAACCTTGCCACAGCAAATTCATGGTTCCAGCCAAAAAATTCATTATGACAAGAAATTCACTGGCCAAATTGGTGATGATCAGCAAAAAAAATTTTAATAATAATAATAAATAATGATTATACAATATGAATAAATAGATAATACATGTGGAAATTAAAATTACTTATTGAAATAAGATGTAATATTTGGTTGTATTAGTTTTTCATTATTTAATAATTTCACTTTTCTCTTCAATGATTTAAATGCTTTAAATTCTTTATGATCTATTTCTAAATCACCTTGCTGAAGAAAATTAAAAGCTGTCTCAAAGGCAATTACAGCATCTTTTGTTGAAACTTCAGGCATAGTGTTATTTTCAACAACTTCTTCTGGATTGAAGGAGGCAATTATTTCTTCTTCTGTTACCATTTCATTATTTATTTGAAAGTCATCAATGGTGATATATTCTTCCACTTCTAATGGACTGGCAAATGATAATTGATTGATTAAATTATTAACATCATTTTTTTCTCTATTTGAAATCTCTTCAACTATATTTGTTGAATTTCAATTACATTATCAGATATTTCATTTTCCAAAGGGAGAATTCCAGTTTTCCTCCAACGATTGATAATTGTAACTGATGTTACATTATCCCAAGCTTTCTTAACAAAATCTATCACATTCATTATATTAATAGATTTTGATAAAGGTATAGCAGGATTAGGATTTTGTGAAGATGTAGGATTAAGATATGAAATATGTGAGTCATAATTGCTTATTTTTTTTTCAAGTAATAGTTTCATGTAGTGTGCCTGTAATATACAAACATTAGTATAACATAAAATAAATAATTAGCTTAGATTAAATAATTGAATGAGCTAATCTTGAAGCTGTGAATTATTCCTGCATCACATGGTTGCAGGTGTGCAGTTACATTTGGTGAAAAATGATGAACCCTTATGTTTGTTAATTGTAAGTCTTCAGTCAAACTATGTGTTGGTGCATTGTCAACAAGCAATATTATGTTCCTTTGTTTAGTTCTCATTCTTATATCTAAATTTTAAGATACTCGTTCTAGATTGATATTTGCATCCAAGCCTTATTATTCCAATAGTAATCTACTGGTAATGTTTTTAATCAATTCCTCTTAAAGGCCATGGAGTTTGATATTTATGTATGAACAAAAGTGGTAATTTCTCTGTTCCAGTTACATTGCATGTAAGTAGAATTGTTACCCTATCTTTGTCTTGTTTTGTTCCTAAAAGTGGAGCAGTTGACAATCCATGTGTTGGTTCCATTTTCCAAAAAAGATCAGTTTCATCACAATTGAAAATATCATTCAGTTGATATTCTTTAAGAATGTTTTGCAAGTCTCTTCTCATTTCTGGAAGTTGTTCAAGAGGTGCACTTTGTGCTTCACCATGTTTAGAATATTCACAGATTGAATATCTTTCTTTGAAATTAGTTAACCAACCAGAAGAACCACTAAAATCTTGGTTATTTAATAACTGCAAATTTCATGCCCTTTTGTTTAATAATAGAATCTGTAATAGTTAAATTGCATCCAAGAGCCTTTTCGATCCATAAAATTAAAGCTTCTTCAATGTTAGTAAATGGAGTAATATGTGGTCTTTTTAAATTTGCTTGATAGGAATTTGGATTGATTTTTCAGACTCCTTTAATATATTACTAACTTGGCCTGCACTGATTCCAAACTGGTTTGCTAAATCAAGATTTTTTGGTTCAGGTTTGCTTTTTTTCAATATACATAATTCACGTTTTTGTACTGCAGTAATATATACACATTTTTTGGAGGAAGATGATTGTTCAGTCATTTTTAAATAATTTTTAAATGTATAATTTTTTTGGTTATATAGGATTTTTTATAAACGGAATTTCAACTTAATTTATACATTTTGAAAATTTTGAAGGAAATTGATAAATAATCTATCAATTGTTTGTTTATTAATTTATTTTAGAAACTTGGGAAAGGTAACTTGTAAAATTTTGTTACTCGCAAATCTTTGGATAATCAATCAATTATTTTGGAATTAAATCTATCTATTGTTTGTTTTATTGTTTTATTTTAGAAAAAAAAATCCTTACATTTATTTGTCAATTTTGGTAATTTGGATAATTTCATTAAAATTTATATGTCATGTGAATTCGCTGTGATGTGTGATGAGATTAGTAGCAATATAGAAAGACCCCCACCAAAAATTCGTTAACGTTGTGGAACGAATTTATTAATAAAATTTGTTATGACAAATATTTTTAATTAATAAAAAAAGGGGCTGCTGATATTTAAATTCATTGTAATAAGAAATTTGCTGTGATGAGGTTCGTTGTGACGAGGTTTGACTGTACATAAATAATTAGTGTATGTGCTGTTGATCAATCAACAATCTTCTTTTTTAAAATTTTTTTTAAAAATGTCATATTGCCCAAATAGAAGAAGACAAGAAGATAGCCAAGGTGTCACCCTAGTTTTTTTGAAAAATTGGCATCATGGCTTTATTTCAATTTAGCAAGAAAACAGTAAGTAGTAAATCATTACAACATTCGAATTTCGATCCTCAAAATTCATATTAATATGTAAAGAATACTTTCATGAATAAAATCAGCCAATTATTGACCATTGACTGGAGATCATTAAACACTGTAGATGATCAACTCATCATTTCGGCAAATTACTATCTTGAAAGGATTTCCAGTAATCATCAAACAATGTTCTTTTCTGTCATTATTTTTTTCTTATTTTCAGACTTAATGTTTATATTATTATATATTCTCCCTATTATAGGATAACAATGGTAATGATGGTAATGATGGTGGTGATGGTGATGGTGATCACGTAAGTATAAAGAACTTTTCTGTTTAGTGGTTTGTCAGAAATTTAACCTTTGAACCTACCTTACATTATCATACCTTCTTTTATTCCAGGATGTTGATGATGATAATAATAATGGCAATAATAATGTAAGTTTAAGGAGCTTTCATGTTTAGTAATTGTTCATTTTCATTTCAGAAATTCAACCTTCTAACCTTTATTTTATTATGGTTACAGAATAATGATAACAACAACAACAACAATAATGGTGATGATAATATAAGTTAAAAGAACATCTCTGTTTAGCGATTGTTTATGTCCATTTCAGAAATTCAACCTTCATTTTATCACTTCTTTCTATTAATGAATCATGATGATAACAATGATAATGATAATGTAAGTTAAAAGAACTTCTCTGTTTGGTAATTTGTTCATTTCAGAAATTTAATCTTTGTACTATTACATCTTTCTATTAAAGAATCTTGATAATGGTAATAATGATAATAATGATAATAACAATAATAATGGTGATGATAATGTAAGTCAAAAGAGCTTTGCTGTTTAGTAATTTATTCATTTTCATTTCAGAAATTTAATCTTCTAAACTTTATATTATTATACCTTCTTCCTATTAAAGAACAATGATAACAACAATAATAATAATTTGTATTCCATTTCAGAAATTCACCTTAATATTATTGTATCTTCCTATTACAGGATGTTGATAATAATGATAATAATGAAGGTGAAATTGGGGCTGGTGATGAAATTAATTAACATCAATTAGTTATTTAAAACCTATTTTTATTTTTACTAATAGTGTTTTTATTATTATTATTATTATTATCATTAAAAATTAGGTAATAGCAAAAGAAAAAGGGCTGAAGAAACTGGGTATAATCTTCGCCCTAGAGGCCCAGAAAAAATTATAAGGACAGACCTTTGAGGCGTCCACAAAAAAAGAAGAGGAGTTGTTATGTGGTAGGTATAAATTGGAGTGTTAATAATAATATCAGTTTACTTGATCTTTTTTTACTTGTATTTATAGGAACCATTGCCACAATTAACACAATCACCACAATCACCATTGTCAAATACATCATCATCAGATGAGGTATATTATATATTATTAATATTAAAAATACAATTAATTATTCTTTTTAAGATAAATACCAATTTTTTTTATTTTTATATAGGAATGCACAAGGTGTAGCATTCATTGTCCAAGTTGAAAAATAATAAAAAAAGGTAACTGTGATGTAAATCTACAAAATTACTATATATTATTATAACAGCAATCAATTTAATTTAACTAATCTAACATTCAATTAATCCAACTTGCAATATCTTTTATTATACCTTTATCAAAATAAAAAAAAAGTAAACTTTATAAATTATTATTATATAAAAATTGATAAACACTTCAATAATGTGATAATCAATATTTAACATTTGCCACATGTATTCTGCTACTTTTTTTGTCAATGTATTTGTTTCCATCACCAATTGCATAACAATCACAGGACATTTTGTTTCAACTAAAAACAATTTCTATCTCATGCTACCAAATGTTTTTTAAAATAACTTGTCATTTTCATAAAAAATTTGAACTTCATTAAAACAAAGTAAAACTAAATTTGTTAAGGCTTTCTTAATAAATTTCATATCAATAAAAATCAAATGCTGCTATTGAGAAATAATTTTCCAATTTTTTTGTAACACATTAATATATGATGTATAAAAAAAATGTGTAATATCAATGTTCACTTTGTCTGGTTTTGTTGCAGTATGCCCCACATGATTATTATAAAGAACAGTTGGTTGACATTTGTGGTTAGCATTAATTTGATGTTAAGGATGATTAGTGATAGTGTTCCCATTCAAATATCAGAAATCAAAGTGATATTCAAATATTCACATTAATATTAATTAGCATATTCAAAATGCACAAACATGATAGCTTGATTGACATAGCAGTGCAATCCTGGATTCCATGCAATTGTTTTATTGTATATTTTAAATATAATTAATCATATGTCTTTAATAAAACAAACATGACTTAGCTATTTAATCATTTCCTTGTATGTAAATGCCTCCATCCATCAAATACTCATGATGGTCATGATTATTATTCAATACATTTGATGTTATCATTGACATAACAAAAAATTGCATCACCCAGGTAATAAATAATATCAAGGACATGCATAAATGAAACTATTAATAATGTGTGTCTACTCAGATCTCTGGTGTTCACAAGAATAAATAAATAAATAGGGAGGATCAAAAAAATATATTTTCCCTTCCCATTGTATGGTTTCTTATGAATAATAAATCTGATGATAATAATATGGGTATCAGATTTAATTAAAATTTCCTATCACAACATGTGGTTGGGTGCTTTCACACTCCTCATAACTTTGGATTTTTTTTTCCATAGGTGAGGGATTCCCTACTTGTTGGAAGGCTTTGGACAAAACTTTTCTTATCTTCCCCTCAGACCAGGCAGGCTGTTTTCATATGAGCATTGATTGTTGACAAGAGTTGGCACCTGCGTGATGTACACCTCTAGAATAAAGTTGGTATCTGCAACTTGGGAGGTTGCAACCTGGGTTGTTGTTTTGAATTTTCCCTGAATTCCGAGTTTTGAATCCTGGGTTGCTATCTTGTTGATGGCACATCTACTCACCAATAACCCTACCCCCATTTAAAAATATCAAATTCAGTTGGTCAAACAAAAATTAAAGAAACAGAACATTTATGAAAATGATTAATTTATGCATAACATACCAAACAAAACCTGAACCATTTTATTTTACAGCTTTCTCCTTGATGCCAATAATCATGGTGACTATCATAACTGCCGCCTTTATACTTGTGAGATACACGTTCTCATTGAGCTACACTCCTTTTAACCTAGGGTGGGTTATATGAGCAAAAGCCTCCCATTTAAATAACAAATTAGTTGGTCAAATAAAAATTAAAGAAACAGAACATTTATGGGAATGATTATTTTATACAAAACATACCAACAAAAACTGATCCATTTTATTTTACTAACATCAGAGCCCAAATGCAATTTCAGGGTCACCAACTTACTTTGAATTGCAACCTCTTGTGCTTGAAACGAGTTGCAGATTCTTGTTGCTTTGATGGATCTGGATGTTTATGCACACCTAATATCACAACTCTTCTGGTCATAGAGCCATCCTTAGAGGTAGGATCGTTGCAAGCAACTTGTCAGCTTCTTCTGGTCTGGTGCTGTGAAGGAAGATTAATGAAAAGTGTCATTGATGGCTGATGCAGCTTCGGTAAACTCCAGGGCCATGCGCCAACCCCCTAGAATTCTGTTGCATCATTGTATCATCGGACGAAGCTGGTCATATTAGCCTTATGTACACAAGAGGAACATGCAAGAATGATTGTAAAGTGTTCAGGATAGCGTGCGTGCCTTCAACGTCTGTAAATTTCCAATAATCAAACGTTCAGTATCGAAATGTTTCATATTTGAAATGTTTCTTTTTCAACGGTGTGCTGCCTTGACATCTTGTGATTATATATTATAATAATATTGATTACGACAAGCCAAATACCAAACATTTGTTTACCATCTTGATGAGAATCTTATAATTACCCAGCAAGATCTGTTCCGCATTTTGATTTCAATAATATTCATTTATATAAAATAAAATACATACAAATTAAAAAAAAGGGACCTCTGGATAGTTATTAACACGTTTCTTTTTAGAGCCCAATCATGCCAAATAACATCACTCGCATTTTGTCATCTGAAAAATAAATTTTTTTCCAAAAAAAAAAAAAAAAAAAAAAAAATAGGGTTTCCATACATAAATAATTAGTGTCGATCGATCAAAAATCTTCTTTTTTAAAAATGTCATATCGTCCAAATAGAAGACAAGAAGATAGCCGAGGCGCTCGTGGGTAAGTGTAGTTTATCGTAAGAATGGTGGTGGTAGTTATCGCCGCCACTCGTCACTCTAGTTTTTTTGAAAAATTGGCATCATGGCACAAAAAGTTCAGCAACCAAGTGACTTATACTATAGTTAACCATTATAATATATATTGCTTCTTAATTTATTTCAATTTAGCGAGAAAACAGTAAGTAGTAAATCATTACAACGTTCGAATTTCAATCCTCAAAATTCATATTAATATTATTATATTGTAAAGAATACTTTCATAAATAAAATTGGCCAATTATCGACCATTGATCGGAGAACATTAAACACTGTAGATGAACAACTCATTATTTCAGCAAGTTACTATCTTGAAAGGATATTAAAAACCATATTAATAATAGTAGTAGCAGAAGTAATGGAAAATTTTTTTTTCTTAGTCAATTAATAATAATTAATATAGTGATTGGTTTTTCCTTAGTAGTAGTGATGTTTGCCGATAGAAAAATCTTAGCCGACTAAGAACTTATAAATCCCAGTTGATGAAAAACCGTTTCAGATGGCACCAAGCTTGTCAATATTATCATTACTACTACTATCGTTATTATTATTACTATTGTTTACTATTGTTATTATAATATCTTGCATTTAATGGTTCAAGTTATTTGTTTTATTCGTAATGAATTTGAGTATTCGAATTACATTGAGGTTTATTTAAATAAACCAAATAATTTGAATAAAATTGAGGTATATTACGAATAAATGAACAATAAGTCGAATGAACCAAATAAATTCGAAATAATAAAGTAAAGATTGATGTTTTGGTATTCATAGTTTGTAGTTAGGAACAAGATCGATTTTTAACCAGTGGATAATAATAATGATAATTTATTATTCAGTTGCAAGATAATACCTTATATTAATATATAGCCAGAAATTTTCTACGCTAGTAAAATGTTTTCAGATGATGACATTGTTATGAACTCCAATGTAAGTTCTCCTATATTTATTTAACAATATAATATTTTAATAAAATTCAGGAGATCTTTGATTTATAGCTTGTTTTGATGTTTCGCCTTTGCAGGCAGCAGCATAATGTAAAAGCCAGCATTCAATAAGTTCTATTTTTGAGATTGACTCTTGAGATATTTCACCATTATTAGCCGAATCCGCATGAAAAATCCTTGCAAGATGGTAATTTATTTTTTTCTTATTTCCAACCTTTTATTTATAATAAAACATTGTCATTTAAATATACATATGCAGTTTGTAAGCAACAAGAAATATAATTTCGCTAAAGGACTTACAATGTTTGAATCAATATATTCCAAGGTGATTCAGGTTGGAATAGAAATTTGCGGATTCAGATGTTGAAAATGATTTAATTATTCAGTCTTTTTGATCACTAAATGGGTTTTTGAAGTTACAACAATGCCAAGTAACACTTATAGCAGATTATTACCTACTTTTAGCTGATTGATCCTTTTCAAAAAAAGTTAAGCTGATCATCATTATGATGCAAAGAAAAATTCAGGGTGGGTGGTGGCTCTAAAAATTTTGAAGATGCATTCGGGTTCTTCCTCTTTTTTCAAAAGACCTGTTAAAATCTTTCCTATGTGAAGATTTCATCTTGAAAAGGCTATAGCAGAGTTTGGCATGAGCATGGAAAGGATTATTAAAGCCGATACTGAGCCCAATATCTTAGGTTTAATATTATTACTTTATTTTTTGGGAATGATTTTTAAGGAACTCTACAACTTGTAGTTGTATACAATCGGGAACTCTGCACACACGCACAAAAAAAAAAGGGGAACCAAGTAGAGATTTGATCACTAAAAATTTTTCCACTACTACACTTAGATGACAAGGTAATGGACATGAAAAAGAGGCTCAGATTAAAATTCAACAAAAACATCAAGGGGTTATTTTCCAACTCATTCATCTTTTACTTTTTTTAAACCCAATCGCTCAGCAATGTCCCTAGACATAAGTAAAGTATTAGAGCCAGGATCGACCATAATTGCCAAAAGTACTAGACGTTTGATTTTACCCCGAACAGTTGGAACATCTATCGCATCTTTATCCCAAACAAAGTTAATTTCCATATCTTCGATAACTTCTTCATCCTCAGTATCTTCAATTTGTTGAGAAGAAGTATCATTTGTGGTACTAGATTTCTGAAAATTTCGTAAGATTTTACGTATAGTCTCCTCAAATAAAGCGGAATTTTCAAGCTCACTTTGAATGATTTCACACATCCGTCTCTCTAGTAAAGTTGAAGTTGGATTCCCTTATCCTCTGTAGAATATATATCT